TTGTTTTTGGAAACTTCTGATTCATAAGACGTGCTTGTATTACATTGAAGTATAGAGCATTATTTTCTGAGGCCTTGCTTACATTGTTCACGCTGTAGTTCTTATTTAATTTCTAGGCTGAAGATCTCAAATTAAGGTTATCTACTACAAGCACAGAATCCTTACTAGATTGCCAAAATCTAACCCAATCTGAGTCCAACATAGTGGAATTCAGTGAGGAAGAAGATGAACTTGGGTCAGAAAAAAAGTTAGAAAAAAATGAAAACTCCCAAATATGTGATGGTTTCCACACGAGAGAAGAAACAAAGACATGTGGAAGTCAGCCTTCAGACATGGCAGATGTTAGTAATGAATATTTCATGAGTTCTTCACAGGTAATGGAACAAAAACACAAATATCTGAAAGAACTGTCTGTGATGCACAAAGTAATCGATCAGCCTGTCCTGTTACAGTACAGGTGCATGTTTATGCTAAAAATGTCCTTCCATATTTACCTTATGACCCATCTCTACTGGTAAGTAGACTGTAGACTGGTACTGGTCTACTTAAATAATAATATTTTAATTGACTTTAAATGTTACATACAACATATACAGTTAACAGGGAAATAGGTGGGTGGACAGGACCCGCTACATTCAATGTGACAGGTGGTACAAAACAAAATTCCTAGCAGGTTATGTTAGGAGGGGGATAATCCCTCTGGAATTCGGTTGCAGATGTAAACTTAGATAGAATGGCAGTCGGGTCCCGTTAAACCTCATGTCGAGGCAGGGGTGAAGGGGTGAAAGGAGGGTAACTTTTGTAACATCATTGTATTGTGTACTCATTTTTGGTACTCAGTGTTTAAGTCTTAAAAACTGTATAATGATTTTCTTACTTATCAGGAGCCATTTGATAATAAAGCAAGTGAATGCACTGACCCAGAAAACATGGAAGAAGAATATCACTCATCACTGCTTTGCGAGTCTGTGTCAGAAATTGATCGTGCTTCTCCTATTTTGGAAAGTAAAGTCTGCATTTTTGAAAGTGCAAAGCGTTTAATACCCAGAAGTCTTCCACTACTTGAATTGTGAGTGTAGTTAAGTGTTCTGCTATGCAAGGTGATCTAACCCGTAAGAAATATTTATTGTGCGGTAGCAGTATGATTTCTTACACTGAGTGTGGCAACTCTGCAAATTTTTTATTGCTCTCTGTGTACCTATTACAAACAGACAGATATTAGAAAACCAAATTAGGGAAGAACACCACTGCAGTCAAACAGAATAGGTAGGGAGCAAATGACAGCAGCAGGAACACACACATTTTACATTTTTGCGTCCCCAAACTTTTTCTTAAAAAAAGGGACATTTCAATATTTATCACACTGTTTGGGGGCTGGACTGTGGTCTGAAGGAGTAAAAAAAAATGCCCCTACATTGTGGTCAGTGGGAGTATAAAATGCCCCTGCATCTGTAGAAGTAAAAAAATGCCTTTATGTAACTGGTCAGTGAAAAAATGCACCTGGTTGTTGAAAAAAAGCACTACTGCGTCAATGGTAGTAGTAAGTACCTGTCACGCGCCCCCCGATAACTCAGTGCTTATAGGATCTCAGCTGCGAAGTTGTGGTCCCCCTTGAGTGAGTAGTACGGCAATGCAGTCTTGAATCCCAGGCGTCAGTCTCAGTCTAACAGCAGAGAGTTTGGGATTCGCGCATCATGGGCCGTAAAAATAAAAAGTTGCGTAATTGGAATACTGAAGGGTTATTACGCCGTAACCCCACGTAGCATAGTAGGAGCAGTGCCTGGCACTGATAACATTATCGGTCAGTAGGGGTATGAGGTGAATGGTAGTTCAATTGAACAATTACTAAATCAAAATTTGAACATACCGGTACTTGGTATATAGTGTGGTAAGCAACGTCATTGTCACGTACCTGGTATGGTCTGAATGATGAGGGAGGCTCATTTTGTAACTCTCGTCAGAGCACCCCTGGAGATGGCACAGGTAGCGCACGGACGGAGAGAGACACCAGTGCCTGTGGATGCTGATCACCTGCTGGTAAGGATAGGGGAGCCGGATGCAGGAAGCCGGATGCAGGAAGCCAGATGCAGGAAGCCATATGTGGGATGCAGGAAGCCATATGTGGGATGCAGGAAGCCAGATGCAGGATTCAGGCGGACTGGGTCAGTGGCTGGCAGGCCTGGAGAATCCGGATGGTAGACTTGGTCAGTGGAAGCCGAGTCAGAACCGAACAGGCAGATTGAGCCGAATCAGGAGAATAGTCAGACAAGCCGAGGTCAGAAGGCAGGCAGCAGACAGCAGGAAACAGGAGCAAGCCGGGTCAGTCACAGGATACAGATACAGGAACACAGGTACAGCTGAGATCTTCCAGCAACTATCAGTTGCTGCTTGGGGTATAAATAGGCCGATTGGCGCCAATTTGCGCAATAGGCGCGTACACGCGCACGTTGCGTCTGACGTCCCGAAATACGCCTATGCGCAGTTACTGCTCGTCTGTCACTATGCACGTTTCTGCGCGCCATAGTGTGTGTAGTAACTCGAGCCCTCCTTATGCTATGGGCATTAGTTCTACGTTCCTGACAGTCATAGGCAGTCCATGCACAGTAGGTGGATCAGATCTCAGCATAAATATACCTGAGTAGAAACAAGGTGAGCGATAACAGAGGCAGTGCATACACAACAGGTAATCAATTCTCAGCACAAAGATACACCTGTGTCGTACAGTGCAATGTCAGAACCAGCATGAGGCCGGAAATACCCAGGGTACTTGCGCTTAAGGTGCTTTGATCTCAGGGTTGTAACCCCTCTTGTATGTGGTGAGCAGTCCCGGTTGCAGCAGGGTTCAGGGAACCTGGTCTGTAGCGTGTAGCTGGCGGTAGTAGGGTGTGTAATCCCAATAGTGGAACGCCCTACTAGCGTCCCAGCACGTTTAAATAGCATGCGGCGGCGAAGACGGAGCCTCGCGGCCGCCAGCTGCTTCCGCGCTCCAGCGTGGAGCGCAGAACACCTCCCCCAATAGGGGAGGAGTTGCCCTGCGCTTCTCCGGCCCGATGCGGTCCACAGTGGAACGCAAACGGCCGGCCTGGCGACCCCGGGGATCATTACAGTACCCCAGCTTCAAAACCTATACCATTGTGAATCTTTATACACCCAACACCCACCAAACGAGATTTGTTACCCGCCTGCTTAAGAGGGCTCGGAAACTCCAAAAAGGGGCACTGATCGTATGTGGGGACTTTAATCTGGTCCCGGACAGATCCAGGTGCCCCTGTGTCGGTGGTCAGAATGGTGCTCCTGTGTCAGTGGAAGTATTGGGTTCATCATGTCAGTGGTTAGTGGGAAATGGTTCCCCATCATTGGGAGTCAGTGACCAGGAATCTACAGGCACTATGGGGAAATAGATCACCCCACCTGATTACTGAAATATAACCGCTGTCACTATGCATACAATTGCTCCCTCCCTGCAGCTTTCAGTGGGAAAGCCCTGCATGTAAGGCCATAATCAGCCCACGACCCATAATTTGGGACAACTGGTTTAGAACCTCTGTCAGGATTTTATTGTTGTCTGTGTCACCATAAGTGAGATTTCCTTTCCTGTCCAGGTGACAGGTGTTAGAACATTAGAACAGGAAGAGATATCTCTTTAATGGGTACACAAAATATTTTTGTCTAGGTGCTAAAGAAAAATAAGTGTCTCCTACTTGCTTTTTCTTGGATACCAGTCTACCTGGGTGGAGATTAGTACTGGGTGTTTTCTTGGCTCACGCATTGTGGAGGAATCAAAGTTATCCATCAATATCCTGGAGATGCGGGCGTCTTAGACATTGGACAGATCTTGTCAAGGGACATCCGGTCCGATTTCAGTGGGATAAAGCAGTTCACATTCCAGGGGTGGAAAACTGACAGGTGGATTATCTGAGCCATCAGGATCTGGATTTGGGGGAGTGGTCCTTTCCCTGGGATGTGTTTTGTCAGATTTGTCTTCGGTGGGGCTCACCAGATGTAGATCTCCTGGCCTCCAGGCTCAATTGGAAGGTTCTGAGGTTCGTGGCCATGACTCGAGATCTATTGGCAGATGCGATGAATGCCCTGGTAGCTCCATGGGACAGGTTCTCCCTCATTGTTTCCTCCCGTCAAGCTTCTTCCCTGTCTACTGCAGAGGATAGAGTTGGAAGGTATTCCTGTGATCCTGGTGGCTCCATATTGGCCACGTGGAGCCTGGTACACAAATGTGGTTCGTCTTCTCGCAGACACCCCCATGTCAATTGCTGGCTTTAACAGCATGGCTGTTGAAACCCAGGTGCTGGGGGATAGGGGGCTTTCCTCTGCGATGATTTCCACAATGCTGCAAGCTCGTAAGTTCAGTTCTTGGTCGATATACTATCATACATGGAGGACTTACTTTGCATTGTGTGAGTCCAATGCTTTTCCCCCTTGGCGTTTCTCAATTTCCAGAGTCTTTTCCTTCCTGCAGTGGGGCGTGAATCATCACATAGCCTTGAACACTGTCAAAGGGGCAGGTGTCTGCCTTGGCTGTTCTCTTTCAGCGTTCCTTAGCCATGCATTCTGTGGTTTGTATCTTTATCCAGGGTGTCACTCCTCTGAAACCTGCTTTAAAACCGCCTTTACCAACATGGGATCTGAACTTGGTTCTTTCTGTCTTGCAGAAGGCTCCGTTTGAGAATATTTGGGAGATTGCCTTGTTGGTTCAGTCTAGGAAGGTTTGCTTTTTGGTTGCCATCACTTCGGCTCGACGTGTGTCTGAGTTGGCGGCTTTGTCTTATGAACAACCATTTTTAGTATTACATTGGGACAAAGTCGTGCTTCGGCCTCATCTGTCCTTTTTACCAAAGATGGTTTCTTCCTTTCATTTCAATGAGGACTTTGTTTAGCCTTCTTTGTGTGCCAAACCATCTCATCAGAAGAAGGTGGGTCTTCATTCCTTGGATATGGTCAGGCCCATTCGGGTCTATCTGATGGATATGTCCTCTTTTCGAAAGATGGATTCTTTGTTTGTCGTCCTGGACGGTCCCAGGAAAGGGCAGACGGCCTTGTCGACCACTATATCCAGGTGGATTTGCCAGACTGTGGTTTCCGGTGTATGTTCTTGAGGGTCAAGAACCTCTTTTTCTGGTCACTGCTGATTCTACTAGGGCATTGAGTGTTTCTTGGGCTTTTTCTAACCAGGCTTTTGTTGCCCAAGTTTGCGAGGCCGCTACATGGTCTTCTGTCCATACTTTCTCTAAGTTTTATAAGGTGGATGTTGCCACAAGGTCTTGCAGGCAGCAGTGTGAGCACCTTCTCAACTGTGTGTATGTTATATTTTATTATGTTGTTTTCTGTTTTTTCCTCGACCTCTATTACACTGCTTTGGGACATCCCATATGGTCAAGATCCTATGGATCCAGCTGTGTCCTTCAATGAACGGAAGAGAATACATTTTGATACAACGTTTCTACTAGGAATGATAATTGGTCATCTACTGAAGGTTTCCAAGACATGGGAATTCTCTGTGCACACAAACACAATTTAATTAGCCAAATTTAAAAAACAAGACACTGTCCCGTAAATGGTTACTAAATATGTCAAGCCTTAAAATTGTGGGCACCCATAAAACTGCAAGAAATTAGGATACTATGCAATGCTTTATAACTTTAAAGACCTTTATAGCTCATCAGGTTAGAGTTAACAGTAAATAATAGCTGTTGCATAATTTCTCTTACCCCCATGTGCACAGCTATACCAAATATGCCTTACTCAGTTTACATACATGTGTGTCCTGGGAGTATGAATGTTTATGTATGTGCATAGGGGTGGGGGGTCCCTAAATTTCCTTTTTTTTTCAATTGTATTATTTTTTTATTTCATTTTTATTTTTTCATTTTACGTGATTCATTTCAGATTAGTATTATCACAAAGGGGATGATATGCCCCAATATTATTGTATTGTGCAGTGACAGGTCCTTTTTATGGGGACCCTTAATGTCTCCCGTGCACTCTGCTTGAGCTGATCAAGGGGCCTGATCAGCTACTACACTGTCCACTAGCAACTGGCATTTGACAGCTGTGAACTTTAAGGTGCTCAGAGCAGAGCGCTTTCAAGTTCACATTAAAAAGAAAAGATCGGTATGTTCGCCAATCCCCTGCTGCTCTGCCATCCTGAATGCCTGGCTTTAACCTCGAGCGTTACTTTGGGGTTAACTCAAGGGTAGCTAAGGGGACATAGTGAAGTGAAAGCTATACTGAGGTGGATATGTAGGCTGACATTGCTCTGGAAATTCTACTTTTATCTGACTATCATGCTAATCTAATGGGATCTTACTGTCACTGACCTGAAACAAAAATGAAAAATAGGTGTTCGGACTACTTGTTTAAGGTCACTGACAGTGAAAGTATTGCAGCCATTAGGTTGATAGCCAGGTCAGCAGTAGTTTTAAAAGGAAGTCAGAAATAGAAGTCTTTACATACTTTTCTTTCCTCAGTCACACTGTAACTACATATTCTTTATGTGCATGATGTTTATATTTCTTGTAGTCTTATGCCAATTTCCTTTTTAGACTGCTTTTAAACTCTAAAGAACACTGTGAAGAAGTTGTGTCTATTAAAACGATGCTAACACCTGTCTGGAAAATGATAGCTACTCACAGGTATGAGAATAAGCAGAATATATTGTATTGTCTATTCACTTTTCTGAGCCCCTGCAAATGAAGCCCAGACACAATCTATTTTGTTTTGGATAAAGTAGAGAATTGTTGGAAACTTTATTAAGCCTATATTGGTCTGTATCCCCTTTTATCAGATTTCTCTCTTTGTCCTTTATCATTGCCAGTTGTGTAGTGCTTGAAAATAATAGGTATAATCACACCTCTTCAAACAGGAGGTGAGAAAAAAAGCTCACAAGGTGTTAAACCTTATACAGTGCAATTAAACCTTTTTTTTGTTGTATATATCTACTGCTAGCAAGCAGTTGATATATGCAAAAACATAAAAAAATGAAAAAAGTTACCAAATATGTAAAAACTTACCAGTGTCTCAGCCGCTCGCCCCAAAGATCTGAAGACTCTCGAGCAGCCGTGAAGGATCATGGTGGGACGCATGCGCAGTTGAGATCTTTGGCAGGGAGAAGAGGAGAGACACAGGGTAAGTCAATGCACGGACTCGGCAGCGTGCACGCGGACAGACACCGTGGGACCCGAGGAGTCAGCGCTGGATCAGAGACTGGCACTAGCGCTTGGGGGGGGGATGTAACTTTATTGTCACTTTAATGTGTATATCCAACAAAAAATATTTTTTCAGTTTTGGATAGAATTAAAAAGGATTAGTAGAAGCAGGGACACCGGCACTCCAATGTAAGCGTGAAGAAAAGTCTTATTTATTGAAGAGGTGCGACATATGACATAAATACGTCGCCACATGTCATTGCTTGAGGAAGGGGATCCTGTGTGACCCCGAAACGGTCGTCGCATTTATGTGATATATCGCACCTCTTCAATAAATAAGACTTTTCTTCACGCTTACATTGGAGTGCCGGTGTCCCTGCATATGATGGTAACCGCAGCACCCATCTGATTTCTCTTTGGACACAAGCGTGCAATGGGTTCATGGATTTAAAAAGGATTAGGACCCCTGTCAGGTTTTACTGCTCTCCAGGACTCCCTTACTTACTTTCCCGGTAACAAACGTTTCACTAGACAATAAAAGAGGGAAAACACAACAGGTGTTCTATTCCTCCCCTACTCTATCTACAATTAAATAAAAAAAAGTTTGGCTGGGTATAAACTTGCATAAAATATAGGATTGATGGTGCTGAAACCCCAAAATGCTCATTCCATAGGTGCAGAACATGAAGAATGCAGTTCCCACATAGCCAAAGTGCTCCTAAGGCCACTCTGGACTGAGACAGAACAGGATAAATGCCCACAAATAATGAATGTATTTCCATACAAGATCAGATACTTGTGGCATAAAAGGCCGACACATTTCGAGGGCTGGGCATTGCCCCCTTATCAGGGCTTATGGCAGTGGATAGAGCAAAAGAAGAGAAGTGGTAATGCACAGTAAGTGTTAAGCAAATATGAAATATGAAGCATGCACACATTTGCTTTAGCTGTAGAGATTGCTTGATGAAAGCCAGAATGAAATTTCAGGATATTGAGATATCAGTTATCAGACCTTGCCATATATAATACTTTTACTACACACACAGAATGCTGCACTGAACTCCAATAAACTCTTCCAAATACAGCTTTGGAGTTGCCTAAGAAAATCATCCAAGGTCACTTGCGACAGGCAATCAGAAAATGGTATAGAGGAGAGGAGATATAGCAGCCCTACCTATGAAATAGACATTTTTTAAAAACTTCATCCATAGTACAAGCAGTCACCGGGTTATGAACAAGATAGGGACTGTAGCTTTGTTCTTAAGTTGAATTTGTATGTAAGTTGGTGCAGGTACATTTTTTAAGTGTAACTCCAGCCAAAAAGTTTTGTGTTTTGTTTTGGATAGCATAGGGAAGGGTTTACCCCTGTAAAGTTTGATTTGCTGTGTGTGCTCCTGTTGAGAAGATTTCACCTCACTTTCTGTCCCTGTGACAATTGAATTTTGAGAATTTTGGGTTGTTATGGAAACAAGAAAAACATGGAAACTTCAGTGGGGACACCTTTTTCCCATGATAACTCTTACAGGAGTGAATTTCCCTTCCTAGGGGTAGATTTCCTTTCACTTCCTGTTGTCTCAAGGACAGGAAGTGAGATTAAATCTTTCTAATGAGGATACAGACAGCAGTATAAACCTAACAGTGACCCGGAAGAAGAGGCGAGCACCTCTCATCTGTACGTCCAACAAGAGCCAACTTCCTGTAATGTACGTACAGTACTACAAACCAGACCTAAAAAGGCGGGCACTCCTCGTCAGCAGGAGCGCGGTAGCATTACAACTACCCCGGCTGTACAGTAATAGCCTCCGTTTGTAAGTTGGAGTCATATGTAAGTCAGATGTATGTAACTCGGGGACTGCCTGTATTTATTAGTTTTTTGCTCATTTTCTAACCTCTCAGGTGCATTTCCATTTTATTGCAGATATGCAGGACCTTTTTTGACACCAGTGAGAGAAAGACAGGCTCCAGGATATACAGAGATAGTTAAGCGGTCAGTTCATTTACAACTTTATATAATTTATGCATCAATTCAAAGCATCTATAGATGTATACATTTGAAGAGCTTATCAGGATGTCAATATATTTAACAAAGTCTTTATCTTGAGGGAAGTGTGTAGTCAGCCTTTCCTCATACTTAAATATCTAATAAAATGTCATAGGGCAATAGGTTGCACATGCATATAAAATCAATCTATAAGAGCCCTTATTCGTAATTGCTCATTTTTAAGTGAAGCAACCCATTGTGTCCTTCTGTGACTTCAGCAGAGTGAATTATGATTGTTTGCTATGGTTGCTTAAATTACCATTTAAGAATATAAGCCCTTTACTGAACAAGGCGATAGATCACACCATGAACAAAAGTAAAATTAGGTTAGAAAGTAAAGTCAGATGTCTCATTGTGAACAACAGGTGGAAAGTGCACCCCCAAACCTCAACTTGACTAACAAACAAACAGATGCACGCCTTCAATTTTTTTTCTGTAAAGGATACCCTTCACACATTTTTTCCAACAACTGAGAGATTTTATGTGTGTGATGGCAGCTGCTTCCAACAACTAATAGCCCGGTATCTCATGTGGGAATATAACTACCCTGTTAAGTAATTTGTAATATTGTTTTCTCTATTGTCCAGTGAGAGACACAGCTCTGAAGAATTCTGAGGTTTAGGGTTAGGCTGCTGCCTCTAGGAGAAATGGACACTAGCCAAACAAAAATAAAAAGCCTGCCATTTTAAGGACATAACTCCTCACACCTGCCGGTTTCGCTCAACCAAAGGGCAATAACAAAAAACTGAGAGGGAGGGGTTATACAGGGCTGTCCTAACAGCTTTGATTTGCTAGTGTCTAATCACCTTAAG